ACTCAGATCGCTTGCTGAGTACATCAGAAGACATATGTCGACGTCTTTGTACTCTGATGGTACTTCTCCAAATTCTTCAACGGAGACGGTGTCAAAAACGTTCAACTCGTATAGCTTGTCGTTGACACGTAAAGATTTGCGCAAATGTCCTAGGCTTATAATTTCGCACGTGTTCCCCACGAACTTCCATGCAGCTGATTTTTCCCAAGCATCGAACGCCGAGAATTAATACTTTTATTTGCACACGCTCGTTGCAGCTTGAGAGGTCTGTGCTTGCGGACGACATCTTCGACGTATTCTTCGAACTTGTGTTTCGTACTGGTATGTCGTACAAGTGTTTCGTACCGTGAGCGGACTGAAACAGTCTGGTTTCCGTCGCGAGGCCCTTATATAAGCTCGGGTTAGTAGGGATGAATTTCCGGTTTAGGATAGGTCGAAATCTTTATATTTTGACCAGTGAGGTAGCACGTCATCAAGTCGACATCTTAATATTTTGACCAGTGGGGTGCCACGCCATTTTTTTATGCACGGCACTGAACTGAGGAAAAAAAACTCCGTATTTTATACCCTTCGAACATAATAAATGGACCTTTCGCTTTTTTTTCCACGAAACGTAATCTCAATTTAACGATTCGTAAATCAATACTTAACGATTATTTAACGAACGTTACCTAAAAAAAGAGGGAAAGAAGGAATGAAAAAAAAGAAAAAAGAAACAATCTGTCGATTGTACACTCTCCTTTTCCATTTTTTGTTTACGAAACATCGTTAAATAATCGTTAAATAACGATTTAAGAACCGTTAAATTAAGATTACGTTTGGTAGGAAAAAAAAGGAAAGGTGCATTTGTTTTGATCGAAGGGTACAAAAAAAAGAAAGATCCATTTGTTATGTTTGAAGAGTAAAAATTACGAAGTGTTTTTTTCCTCGGTTTAGTGCTGTGTATAATAGAAAATGACGTGGCACCTTGAGAAGATTTAGCACAGATTTCTCAAAGAGGACCAGTTTCTTCTTAAATAAACTTATATATAATAATAAACTTATACGGTACGAGATTCGCACTTCACGCGCGCTCTTTCTTCCCGCGCGATGCGTTTCTCATTGCAAAAGAGCCTCGCCTCGCTCCTCCGCGGTACCCCGAGCTACCGAAGTATCGTCCCGAGTCGAAACTTTGACTTCATGTTAAACATTTAATTCTATAACCTAATGTATACGGGAAAGAAACAGTCTGAAGTCAACGATAGATATTCTCACGTATAAGCGAGAATATTATAATACTCTTAAAAGATTTTCAGTCTTGAATATTACTTCGGACATTACCGTAAAGTAGCACTTGGATATATCATATCGTTCTTCGCACTCCACGCAACTCGAAATTTCCATAAATAAACACGAACGCATAGCCTGCAAATGTAATCCCGCGGCTATATTTCTAAGTCCAGATCGCAGATAATTTATGAGAAAGGTGAAGGTGTATAAGACTTGAACTATTATTATAATGATATTGGAGAGGTACGATTAGACGGTGGAGAAGGGGAAGTGAAGGCTAGAAAAATGGAAGTCGAACACAAAATTTACGTTTGTAAATACCTTCCTTAATTTATTTACTAAAATATTTCTATTCTCTTCATAGAAAATAACGTCTGTAATATAGTAAGAATTGTCTTCTACGTCTATTTACAAGTATCTGTTCGCTTTAGATCTTGAAGTGCGAACACCATGACATTGTTCTTAAAAGAACATCAGGAATGATGATGCGATTGGGAAGATCCACTTGACTGTCCCGATTCCGCTCGTACATTGTCATCCCTGCTGCAAATTTATTTGATTAAATATTTCTTTTCTTTCCAAAAAAATAATGTTTTTATCAAAGTGTTAAAAATTTTCTTCTTCGCTTACCTATTAGTATCTGTTCGCCTTAGTTCTTGAAGTGCCGACACCATGCCATTGTTCTTATAATAACATCAGGAATGAGTATGCGATTGATAGTTCCACTTGAATGTCCCAATTCCTTTTGTCGACGCTCGTACAATGCCATCCCTACTCCAAATATTCGGTTTAAGGTGGGCTCCTCTTTGGTTGATATATCTGTGTGCCATAGATTATTGTTCAAGCACCAATCATCCGCTTCTTTCCTTGAAATTAGTCTGGCATAATCGGGGACGTCCTGCTTGTTGCCAACAACGACGAAAGGGAACGTATCGGCATTTTTAATGTTCGCTTCTTTCTTGAACTTGGATATCCAATACGTCAAGTTTTTGAAACTACTCAGATCGCTTGCTGAGTACATCAGAAGACATATATCGACGTCCTTGTACTCTGGTGGTACTTCTCCAAATTCTTCAACGGAGACGGTGTCAAACACGTTCAACTCGTATAGCTTGTCGTTGACACGTACAGATTTGCGCAAGATTCCTTGGCTTATAATTTCACACGTATTCCCCACGATTTTCCGTGCAGCTGATGTTGTTTCAACGCCTCGATCGCCGAGAATTAATACTTTTATTTGCACACGCTCGTTGCAGCTTGAGAGGTCTGTGCTTGCGGACGACATCTTCGACGTACTCTTCGAACTTGTGTTTCGTACTGGTAAGTCGTACAAGTGTATCGTACCGTGAGCGGACTGAAACTGGCTTCTTTCCGTCGCGAGACCCTTATACAGGCTCAAGTTAGTAGGGATGAATTTCCGGTTTTGGATAGGTCGAAATCTTTATATTTTGACCAGTGAGGTAGCACGTCATCAGGTCGACATCTTTATATTTTGACTAGTGAGGTGCCACGCCATTTTCTATTATGCACGGCACTAAACTGAGGAAAAAAAAACTGCGTATTTTATACCCTTCGATCAAAATAAATGGACCTTTCGCTTTTTTTTCCCCTTCGATCAAAACAAATGCACCTTTCCCTTTTTTTTCTACAAAACGTAATCGTAATTTTACGATTCTTAAATCGTTATTTAACGATTATTTAACAAAGTTTCATAAAAAAAAAATGAAAAAAATAGTGGACACTCCACCGATTGTTTTTTTTCTCTTTTTTTTCTTTTTCTTTTTCCCTTTTTTTTACGAAACGTTCGTTAAATAATCGTTAAATATTGAATTACGTACAGTTAAATTACGATTACGTTTCGTGGAAAAAAAAAGGGAAAGGTCCATTTGTTTTGTTCGAAGAGTATAAAATACGGAGGTTTTTTTTCCTCGGTTTATGCCGTGCATAATAGAAAATGGCGTGGCACCTCACTGGTCAAAATATAAATATGTCGACCTGATGACGCGCTACCTCATTGGTCAAAATATTAATATTTCGACCTATCATAAACCGAAAATTCATTCATACCAACCCGAGCCTATATAAGGGCCTCGCGAAGGAAACAAGAGAGTTTCAGTCCTCTGACGGTACGAAATGCCAGTACGAAACACCAGTTCAAAGAATACGTCGAAGATGTCGTCCGCAAGCACAGATCTCTCAAGCTGCAACGAGCGTGTGCAAATAAAAGTATTAATTCTCGGCGATCGAGGCGTTGGGAAAACATCAGCTGCACGGAAATTCGTGGGGAATACGTGCGAAATTATAAGCCAAGGAATCTTGCGCAAATCTCTACGTGTCAACAACAAGCAATACGAGTTGAACGTGTTTGACACCGTCTCCGTTGAAGAATTTGGAGAAGTACCACCAGAGTACAAGGACGTCGACATATGTCTTCTGATGTACTCAGCAAGCGATCTGAGTAGTTTCAAAAACTTGACGTATTGGATATCCAAGTTCAAGAAAGAAGCGAACATTAAAAATGCCGATACGTTCCCTTTCGTCGTTGTTGGCAACAAGCAGGACGTCCCCGATTATGCCAGACTAATTTCAAGAAAAGAAGCGGATGATTGGTGCTGGAACAATAATCTTTGGCACTCAGAAATATCAACCAAAGAGGAGTCAACCATCAACCGAATATTTGGTGTAGTGATGGCATTGTACGAGCGTCGACAAGAGGAATTGGGACAGTCAAGTGGAACTATCAATCGCATCCTTATTATTGATGTTATTATAAGAACAATGACATGGTGTCTGCACTTCAAGAACTAAGGCGAACAGATACTTATAAGTAAGCGTAGAAAAAAATTCTTAACACTTTGTTAAAGACATTATTTTTGTGTGGAAAAACAGAAATATTTAATCATATAAATTTGTAGCAGGGATGACAATGTACGAGCGGAAACGGGACAGTCAAGTGGACCTCCCCAATCGCATCATCATTCCTGAGGTTCTTTTAAGCACAATGTCATGGTGTTNACAATGTCATGGTGTTCGCACTTTAATATCTAAGGCGAACAGATACTTGTAGATAGAAATAGAGGACAATTCTTACTATGTTACAGACGTAATTTTTCTATTAAAAATATAGAAATATTTTAGAAAATAAATGAAGCAATTTATTTATCAAACGTAAATTTTGTTTTCGACTTCCATTTTTCTTGCCTTCTCTTCCCCTTCTCCACCGTCTAAT